CAGAAATTACAGCTGCTGTTATGAGTCTTTTGGCCTTCCATTTACTTGAATTTAATGGGCTTAATGGGAGATATTTGTGCTGTTTGGCTGCCCTTTTTGTGCCTATAAATAGAGATGTTTGTGGCTGTTTTAAAGAGGATGATATGTGAGTAATTTTTGGAAGAAAACCTGTGGGTTTTGTTTGATAGCTTGCGAGCTATGTATCCCCTTCTCCTTCTAGGATAACTTGCGAGTTATGCCTTCTTCGTCTCAGCTTCTAATCCCTTTCTTCTCTCCGCAAGATCGACGCCATCAGTATCTTTCTTCTCAATCCAAGAGAGCAACTTTAGGTGTATTTTTATGTTTGTGTTTGTATCAAAGTTTGTAAGTGCATGTTTTGTTGTAAGTGTCTTTATATGATATAAAAAGTGTCTTTTTTAGTATTTTCTGTATCTTCTAGTTTCTATGAAGAGTTTTATTTGCTCGCAAAAATTTGGGAAGGCTGCTTGCATCATATTGTCTAGCCAAATCTAATAAACATGCAATAACATTTTATCATTCTCAACATGTTTTCCAAAATTTCATTGCAAAGTAGGAAATTGGTGAAAGTAATAAAGTCAAAGGCATTTATTATCTCACAAATTTTACTATTCACTCTATGCACCCTTAGGAGTTTCACTCATGTTCCCTTTATTTCAAAATATGAATGTAAAGCTTGTGGATACAGCAAATACCATGTCTCCTTTCCTATTTCTACAATCTCCCATATTAGTGCTCCTTTGAGCTTAGTTCATTCAGATATCTTGGGATCAAATTCTCTATCTACTTTTTCAGGTTTTTATTATTTTGTTTCTTTAATTCATATCACACCAGCTTCATCGTGCATATTTTTTGAAGTGTCAGTAAGAAGTTTTCTCATCAAGCTTTTTCCTCAAGAAATAGAGGTAAGGGCTTATTTGGAACCATTTTTTTATTTTTGCTTTTTTTTTTTAATGTATGATTTGTGTTTTTACATATTTTTTATTCTTTTAAACAAATCGAGTTATTTAGAAAATAATTGAAAATTATTTTTGGAATTTTCTAGGTATTTTCTTTTTTTTTAAAATGAAAACCATCTTGGCCAGCCATCCGCCATCGCCACCATTGGTCTTTGGCTATTGCTATCACCGCCACCAATACCACTAATTGCCATAGCCACCAGCACCCATCACCTCCACTGGCCATTGCCAATTATTGATCACAACCACCTACCACCGCCACCCCATGACCTTGTTACATAAATCAACATGCAATATTCAACAAAAACAAAAACTTGCCTCACAAATTAACTTATGTGATATTCAGTAAAATAAAAATAGCACGTTTAAGATATCAAATATATTTTTATTTTAAATCAAAATATAAACAAAATGAAACAAGAACTAAAGTCAACAAGTGATCCTAAACAACCCCTAAACTTTCCACTCAAATTAAAGCCCTCCATATGGATAATGCTCTTTAATATATACAACTCTATTTCACCCTTTTTATTCTAACAATGGTACTATACATCAATCATCATGTCCTTATACATCAAATTAAAACGATCTGATTGAATAGAAGAGATAAAAACTCATTGATATGTTAGTACTTAGTACCATAATGTTTTGCAAAGAATGCTTCACAACAATTTTAGGGTGATGTTATCCTCAAAGGCCCTTAATTAATCATATGCAGTCATCCATTATAGCTTATGCTCCTTTATTTTCAATTCTTGATAAACAAAACTCTATTTTTTGTCATAGAGTCCTTGGCTATGTTTGTATTGTCCACTATTTTCATTCAAAATGTGATCAACTCACCCCTCATGTCAATAAGTATATATTTTTAGATTATTTTCATACTTGTAAAAGTTACTTGTGTTACCCAAGGTGAAGAGAGAGAAGGGCTGGTTGTAGAGATGGGGCCCACGACTTAATTAAACTTTCTTTGGAAGGGAAAATTTGAATTAGGGACTGTTTAGGGATTTTGTATTTGTCCTCTTTGTTTTAATTAGTTCATTTGCAAGAATTAGGGTTTTCATATGGAGTTGAAATTCAAATTTGAGATCTAGGGTTTGTTCCTTTGGGCTCTAGGATTGGCTAGAGATTTGGAGAGTTATTTCTTCCTCTCGAATTGAAGAAACTTGTATCGTCTATTGTTTTCCTTTTTCGTGGATTGAATAGAAGAAGTTTGTTTGTATTTTTCTCTCCAATTTCCTGAAAATTCTACATCATAGTGCTGATTTCTCTCTAAAATCAGTAGTTTTCGTGCTGTTTTTCACCAATCACTGGTAGGTTTGCTTTTGAACTCAAGTATTTCCCTTAGGGTTAATTGCGAACTCAAGTATTTCCTATCACCTTGTTGTGCATGTTGATGGCATTCTTCTTATTAGAAATGATGTTTCCAATGTTAATAATATAAAGCATTATTTCATAAGATATTTTCCACTAAATATCTAGGGGTTTAAAAACTTTCCTGGCATCAAGCTTGTCTATAGCAACAAAGGTGTTTCACTTTCTCTTTCAAAAGAAATACATTACAGGCATTCTTGAAGAAATTAATATTCTTAGGTGCAACCTACTGACTCTCTCAAGGATATACTGTAAGCATTCGAGAATGATCAGAACTTCATTGAATCTTCTCGCTATCAAAGTCTGGTTAGCAAGCTTATCTATCTAATTATAGCTCAACCTAATGTATCATTTGGTGTTGGTATGATCAATTAGTACATGAAAAACTCAAAGAAGAAACAAATGGATGAAGCCCTAAGAATTTTAAGTTATATCAATAACTTTCAAGGGAAAATTCAATTTTATCAAAAATATAATAACTTAAGGATTAAAAGCTTGCTTATTATGATGGTGACTAACTGGATTTATTAAGGATCTTAAATGAATCTTTATAGGTGAAAATCTCATGTTTTGGAGATGTAAGAAGAAGACTATTGTAGCTAAATCTATCGTAAAAGTTGAATACAAAACTATGGCTCATTCTTCTTACATAATAATGTGGATTGAAACATAGCCATAGATCATTCTTCTTAAAAATAATGTGGATCAAAACTCTAGTGAAAGAATTTTCTTCCCTCTTATAGTTTATGACATTTAACAGTGATAATTAAGTAGCTATTTAAATTCTAAGCAACTCGATCTTATATGAAAGAATCGAACATATTGAAATGTTTCACTTCATCAAAGATACAGTTCTCCAAAAAAAGATCACTTCACACATCTCCATTGAAGATGATATATTTGTCAAGGCTCTAGGTGATGTAGAACGAACATGCGAAGGAGCTTCTCAAGAAAATTAAAAGTGAACGACAACGTAATTTCAATTAATATCTTATTGAGATAGCAAGAAAATCATTAAAGAAATCGTGTTATCAACTAGCCTAGGCGAAGAAGTATGTAGATTAGCCAAAACTTTCAGACAACCAAAAATAGTAGCAACACTAAAAGCTATTACAACAATCCGTCATTTAATAACGAGAAGTTCACCTTGGGGAAATACTCACTCAACTAGACTAGGCTTTGCGGGAGAAGAATTTCAGCACACCAAACGATGCCACGAGGAAGGTTGCGATGCCAAGGGTCTTGAGCCACGGAGAGGTCGACGATGACGCGGAGGGCGTGAATGCTTGACTTTCGAGACTCCAAGTGTGCTTTGCAAATTTCCGGTCGTAGATGCT